ATCATCCTCAATGTCTTCTTCACCAGCATCATCACAGGCCAAAGCTGGACCATCACCATCTCTAACAACCACTGCTCCTTCGTCACCTGAAACACACATGTAGCATACTTTTAATACAGTGCACTTAGACAGCAAACGCGAACTAAGCAGCCTCCCTGTGACGACTCGAAGAGACTGTGAAGATTAACTTCCTGTTTTTATTTTTGTAACCACGGCACTTCCTGTATCTAGGTTCTCACCCTTTGTTTCTCCCCACAGCTGAGTTTAGTTTGCAATCACCTCCACCTGTATTTAAGCCTCAGTTCCCCACTTGTCTGTGTCAGGTTATCTTTTGTCTTTCCTAGAGGTGCATGTTTGTTGTTAGAATTTCCCAGTGCTGTATTTGGTAATCTTGTTTCTACTTCGTTGCCAGGCTCTCTTCCTTTTTGTTTCTTCAAGAGCGTGTGGATTCCGCCTTTGCCTGTGCACCCTTTGTCTTGCATTAGTTTACTCTCCTAGTAAAAGATTCCAAACCTTGAAAGAATTTTCTGTTGCCTTATTGCTCTGCACCTGAGTCGAAGTCCTGACCCCTCACACTCCCACATTCATTCATGTTCATGTTTGTTTCCATCATCACCTCCTCTGCAGGCCTGGATCATGATGATCTTGGGTTTGTTCAGCAGCGCTGGACAATTCTCTGGGCCCAGGTGTTTGTAGATGTTGTCGATGAGAAACTCATCTGCCTTTCTTTCACGCTTCCAGTCCACACCGCAGACACGGCCCCGTAACCCGTGTGACATCAAAACCACCAACACGCTGTCTGTCTCTTTGAGTTTGGGGTGTTCGGCGAACTTCTTTAAAGCCTCATCGATTGCCTGTGACATTACAAAAAGGCAAACATCAGTGATCAACCAGACATCTTTTGTTTTTTTCCTCTTTCTTTAACCGTACCTTTGCTGTGAGGTTACGGTGTTTCACCACCTCGTATCCCAGTCCCTTCATCAGAATCTCCATGTTCTCCTCATCCTTCTCGGCTCCATTTCTGTTCGGTGTCTCATTAGTAAACTTTATGTTGGTGATTAGCAGGGCCACACGATTCCTTATGGAATTTTTGTCTGCAGGGTAAATCTGAAAGACAGATTTGAGGGGCGTTAAGTAAAACAAACATCTGTAATTTGTATTGAAATAAAGCATTCAAACAACACCTTCCTATCACGGTGAGGAGAAACTAATTTAAATATATTTGATACTCCTGATATGGCTTTTATGAAGTGACTGACATCTCTATGACTCAGTTTACTGCAGAAATCGTCGGTGATTGGAAGGAGTGTGGTTGACCACGTCGGCTCCACCTTTGGCTCCGCAGCTGGGAACAGTAAAACATTTGCTCAGAACAGTGTTCTTAGTATGTAACACACCTCTATCGAGAATGATGTTAGTTTGAATCAAAATAGGTGACGGTGACGCTATAGCTGAAATGAATAAGCTCACCCGGCAGAGCAGGTTGAGCGGAGGAAAGACCGAGTACAGAGAAGAGAGAACTATCTCTACTCTCAAGGCTAGCGATCAGTATTTCGCTGGCTTTGTTTCCTTTTGCCTTCACCACGTCGATGAGATTGCGTGCTGTGTCTGCTTTTGTCCTGTTCCTCTCCAATATTGAGTCTTTCTGGCCATCATTCAAGACGCCATTGTCTACGAGGTCGTCCAGTAGCTGCTTGATCAGTTCTATATCGGCCTTTTCCACAAACTTCGTCCTCGCCTTTTTCAGCTTATCTGAGAAGTGATATGAAGCACAAGAAATCACAAAACCCAAAAGTTAATAGAAGGTACAATAAAGACACTTTATTTGGCTGACACTTATTAGGCCTTTATGGCAGTACACTGCCCCCACCGAGGGGCAGCTAGTAGTGCATTTTGTTCTGTCAGTACCTTTCCTCTGTGTAATGACAAAGTTGTATTTTCTTCTTCCCTGATTAAGTAATGGTTAATATGTTATATTGTTCAATTTTTAAATAACAATTATTAGGTGCTTACGATCGTTTACAGAGTTAATATTACCAACTTTTTGTAAGTAATCAGTATAAAGAGTCGATAAATATGAGGAAGACTCTACCTAATTTATTTTGGTGTATCTTAGTTGTAAAACACAGGTTTGCTTTACTTTAAACATGTGATGAAATCTACCCAATTTGTTACCTCACATTTATTGAGTAGATTATACAGGTTGTTTTTTACACTTGGCGATAGTGTGAGAAATGAGTAAATGTGTTTTTTGTAGATTGTAGACTGACTCGTTTGTGCAGCTTCTTCCTCAAACGGTGTGGAGAAAAAGAAGCCACTCTCCTTACCCAACTTGATCTGCCGAAATCTCAAATATGCTTTTGTGACAATTCCACAGCTTATGAATGAATAGAGCATCAGTAATTGTTAAGTGAACTGTGTTTAACTTTTTGTTGAATGTAATGCAAAGTGTCAGTTGAATCCACTTAATCAGGCGGACAAAGTGAAACCAAAACGTGGCACACACAACAGCACTCAGAATGAGCTCAATGTTCTTTCGACAGATTGTGTTAATAAAACGATAAAAAGTCGTGTTTCTAAACCCTCATTAACTTGACCACATAAGGTCTAATGTAATTAATTAGATGCGGCTCGAGTAGATTTGCGCGTATCAACTAGTATCCCGCTCGTTTATCCGAGCAGAGTTCACCCGTAAAGATCGTTTAGAGCTCGACCTCTTACCTGCTGCCATCTCTCCACCTTCTTATTACAGATGAGTTTCCTCGTAGTCTGCGAGTCTTTATCCAGCTGCGGGGGTATAAACACGGGGGCGTGGCCTGTTTGTGAGCTTTCCTGTTTGACGAAGATAAGCCTACTTTCTTCTATCAGGGCTACTTTGTTCTATTATGTGTGTTCGGGCTTCTGCTGCAGACTCGCAACGCGTGGCGCATTCAGTGCACGATGGTGCAACCAGCTCGTTGTGATATTATATAGGTGAGTGTTTAATGGTGCAAACAGACAGAGACAAAGGCAAACACGAGGAGTATACTAAATAATCTTGCACATGAAAAATAGGATTTCAACACGGAAGGTAGATTAAAATAACATATGTTTTTGTTATAAATCCTACATTGGGCAACTGCATTTAATATTTGATATAATATTATAATTATTCTCAGGTTAATATTTGTATTTAAATGTTTTAATGTTAAGACATCATTGTTTTCATATATCTGTCTGAGAATTGTTGGATTGTTTTTGCTCACATTCGTTGAACTGCCAAACGTTTTCCTTGTGGTTTACAGACACAGTGCTGCTGTAATTTACTTCATCTGGCCTTACCGGTTTGGCAGCTTTTCCTGCAGCTGCTCCGCGTTGAGTGTGAGCGTATGAACGTGGAAGGAGGAAATGCGTGTGCTCGTTCGTAGCTTCATATTTCAACCTGCCGTGTGCGAGTCGTATGATGACAACATGACTGAGCGTTATTAGCCACCCGTGTCTTTGTTTTGTATGAAGTGTAAACCGATTAAAAAAAAAGCTCTCTATCACTGCCAGTATGTTCAAAAAAGCTGTTAAAATACTCTAGTCTGGTTTGGATTGATTATTCTGGTCTGTAAGTGACAAATCCTTGTTTTATGTATTTTTACAAACAGAACGTATCCTTCTGTCAAGCAACTTTACTGTTTATTTTTATGAGTAAACATCATGAAAAGACTTTTTTTCAGTTTTCTGGTCACACATCAGACAAGCAGAGACTGCAACCATGTTGCCGGCTCAACTCCTTGCCTTCGTGTTGTATTGTGATAACATGGTCTGAGTGTTTAATTTGAGCTTGTTTTTGTTCAGTTCTCTTAGTAAAGTTTGTCTGAAAAAAATCCCATTTGTTTTTGCGTTGATTTGCTTAAAGTGATTCAGAGATGTCTCTTAAGGAGAAATCTGGTCAAGAAAGAGAAATCTGGTCAATCTGGTTTTCCACATTCTGACTATGAGTCATAATACTCGTGCATTCGACACGTTGCTCTCAAGATTCAGGAGAAGTGACTCTGGCACGTCACTGTTTTCACAAGTAAAAGTCACGCAAACTCAAACACACAAAGAGGAATACTCAGAAATGACACCGACTTGTTTGCTTTGATGGGAGTGGTTTTTAATTTATGCTTTCACCATTGGTTGGACATCTATTTCTTTAAATTTCATGTTTTTCATCCTGCATTGGAGCTAAATCTTTGGCCGTAAACAGATTTATTCCTCGCAATTTCTAAGGTTTTGTGCAATGGATCTAATATCAACCTATTTTCTAATGTAAGGTTTTAGTTCCCAGTTCTAACAGTAACAGTGTCCTCTTGGCACTTTCCTTTTCATTACTTGTCAGGACTTGAAGTTCCCTTTCCCTCACCATCAAAGTACCCAAAACATTTACGGCCTCTTTTAGTCTCATACCTTCTCCGATTGAACATTACGTTTTATTGCACGATAAAACTGGATACCACTTGAACAATTGTACTTCACACTGCCCTCAGCTGAGCTTTTGTCTCTACATATAAAGCAGTTCAGTTTAATCTCCCCACAAAGTAATCTTTCCATAAGTAAATCATAAAGCAGTGTCAGGGTAGGGGGTGGAAGGCAGGACTCAAAATGCAGACTTGCAGGAAACAAAAGGACTTTAATAGTCAAAAGCCAAAAAACAGCGAGGAAAAACAGCAGGCAACATGCGTGGCGAAAGACAATGACGCGACAAGTGACACAGGAGACACACGGCTTAAATACACAAGGGAGGTGCAGGTGATTGGACACAGGTGGAAACTATTAAGACGATCACAGGGGATGACGGGACAAGGCAGGAAGTGAAGTTACCCGGGGACACGAGTGGCAGAAAACTACAAAATACAACAGGAAGTGAACCACACCGTGACAAAGCAGTGTGTATAATATACTAACGTGCTTTCTCGTCTTGTTGCACAACTGCATTTAGTAATAACATTGTCTGTAGGAAAATCCTATACAGCAAATAGGGTCATTCTCCACAAGTCAGCTTTTCTTAAGTTTTTTCTCTGTGTGTGAATGTTACAGTATGAGCAATAAAACCACATCTGATGAGACTGACCAGGGTGCTGTGTCACGACGAGGTGGCGGAAGCAAGACTCAAATGCAGACTTCACTAACAGGTTAAGCTTAAATACACAGGGGGAGGTGCAGGTGATTTTGCAGAGGTGGAACCCATCAGGGATACAGAAGACAATCACAGGGGGTGACAGGACAAGGCACAAAGTGAAGCTAACCCAGGGACACAAGAGGCAGGGAACTACTAAATAAAACTACAAACTCACACCACGACATGCTGTAAAGAATAGAAATGAAGTATTGTCTCTTTGTATAATTTGTATAGCATCACTCAGCGTTTTCTTCGCCATGAACGAGAGATGGACCTGGCGGTTTGTACAGCATCACTAACAAGTACTGATCCATGCACACTTGATATATGTGGCATATTTTAAATAAAAGTGTTCATAAGATCCTCACTCACTTTTAAGTCAACAAACGTCATTTAGTCAAAATGATTCAGAATAATACAAACATATTTTCAGCGTTGTGTTTATCTGGGTTCTCTTTGTGTTGTTCATTTGATCCAGTTAAAATGCTGTTGGCTGAATGTGCATTCAGATATCCAAGGAATTCCCTTGAGAAGTTTATTTGGATAGACCAGCCTCACACTGAGTAAAAAAGCACAGTAGGCCAACAAAGCAAACATTTCTGACATATCTGGTGTTGACATATCAATCAATCTTTTATTTCAGACTCAAGGTCCAGATAGTACTAGACCTTAAATAGAATCAAATACATACAGAATAACAAGTAAAGTACCTACGAATGCCTCATGAATAGACAACTGTACCAATGTCTCCACAGCTGGAACTGGCCTGTGGCATTTAACTTTATCTTTGATGAACCCAAGATGATTTCATTTTTAGAAATATTAACCTGGCAGATACATTTATAAATTTGTTTTCTTACAACAGCTTGGAAAGTATTAACTCCTGCAGCCACAAACATTTCACTGGCACTACACCTCTCGGTCTCTTCAGTAATATTCATGGCATCCTTATATACTTGGAGTCTGTGTAGACGTGCTGCTTTGTAATTAGAGCACAAGTGTGCAGTGTAGAGCGGTGTACAAGATGCTCCACACAGAGGCATCTTCACTCCATCTGTACGCAACAACATTGCCTATAGATACCTTCTGGTGTCTCAACCTTTGAGTTTAAGTTTAAAATGGATGTTATGCACATTTTAACTGGGCTCTCGGCCATATAGGAGATAAAAATGGATTTCATACATTCTCAGAAAGATATTTAAACATTTGTTAGAAGAATCATTCAATATTCTGTTGATTTTTATTACGTTAACGAGTAAGCAACCAGTTTAATACAAGTTGATGAAAATGCCCAATTGATTCAACGGCTAACACATTGTTATTTGAATATTTTAAAAAGTAATTGTTTATTATCATATTAGCTGATTGTGGATGACACAGACATATAAATGTCTCTTTTTAAAGTCTCTGAAGTTTTGAGTCTTTGTTTTTGATTTGCTTCTCTTTTTCGACTTATTTTAGATCTTTTTGAAACGGTTTTGCATCTCTTCGCCGTCCTTTGGTCCCAAAGCCTGTGGCCCATTTAGTAAAACAACAAATAATTTGTGTAAGTATTATCTGAATTGCTGAAATAATTTGAAAAGTGGCTACAAGCCTGTCTTAAAATGAAAGAAGTGACTCCTGCCTCAGAGGCCTGGAAAGAAGTAGAAGTGCTTTGTCAGAGTGCATCTGTCTTTGGTCGGCATCTGTTTTTTGCTTTGAATGGAAAAATCTTCAAAGCGTTGCATGACCTGTGTGGATGAAGCAAACGTGTGAGAGTCATCATTGCTGCTCGCTATGTGGTGTTTTTGTGTCATTAACTGATATTTCTTTCCACTTACTTTTCTGAAAAGTTCCTCGATGTGATCCTCACATGCGAACGTGTTAAATACCTCAACAACATACTGGATGAGAAAAGACCCGTTAACTGGATGTCTGTATGAGACTGTATCTGGAGGAAAAACATACAGACACAGTTAATACGTTGATATAATACTTTATTGTGTTATGAGCTGTCAAATAAAATCTAATAACATTCAAATGAACTGACCAGGTGTGCACGATAGAAGAGAACTGAAGTCTTTTTCTTTCTTTGCAAGACACAAATTATCATCCTCAATGTCTTCTTCACCAGCATCATCACAGGCCAAAGCTGGACCATCACCATCTCTAACAACCACTGCTCCTTCGTCACCTGAAACACACATGTAGCATACTTTTAATACAGTGCACTTAGACAGCAAACGCGAACTAAGCAGCCTCCCTGTGACGACTCGAAGAGACTGTGAAGATTAACTTCCTGTTTTTATTTTTGTAACCACGGCACTTCCTGTATCTAGGTTCTCACCCTTTGTTTCTCCCCACAGCTGAGTTTAGTTTGCAATCACCTCCACCTGTATTTAAGCCTCAGTTCCCCACTTGTCTGTGTCAGGTTATCTTTTGTCTTTCCTAGAGGTGCATGTTTGTTGTTAGAATTTCCCAGTGCTGTATTTGGTAATCTTGTTTCTACTTCGTTGCCAGGCTCTCTTCCTTTTTGTTTCTTCAAGAGCGTGTGGATTCCGCCTTTGCCTGTGCACCCTTTGTCTTGCATTAGTTTACTCTCCTAGTAAAAGATTCCAAACCTTGAAAGAATTTTCTGTTGCCTTATTGCTCTGCACCTGAGTCGAAGTCCTGACCCCTCACACTCCCACATTCATTCATGTTCATGTTTGTTTCCATCATCACCTCCTCTGCAGGCCTGGATCATGATGATCTTGGGTTTGTTCAGCAGCGCTGGACAATTCTCTGGGCCCAGGTGTTTGTAGATGTTGTCGATGAGAAACTCATCTGCCTTTCTTTCACGCTTCCAGTCCACACCGCAGACACGGCCCCGTAACCCGTGTGACATCAAAACCACCAACACGCTGTCTGTCTCTTTGAGTTTGGGGTGTTCGGCGAACTTCTTTAAAGCCTCATCGATTGCCTGTGACATTACAAAAAGGCAAACATCAGTGATCAACCAGACATCTTTTGTTTTTTCCTCTTTCTTTAAC